GTATAAGTACTCTTACATGTATATATCATGCAAGAAAAATAGTTATTTTGAATTACATTATGCAGTAGCACTTTTTCTTTTATATACACAATGACATTCGTTCATTAATCATCGATGCAATGTCAATTTGAAAGCTCTTTTATATCTCGCTGGCAGTTCTTTCGACTCATTTCCTCGACACTGTCGGACATTACAAATCCGCGGATAAAATATGCTGAATATTCGCGGCGTGAATGGGGAGGAAAAGCCGTTAGAGAGGGGCACAAGCGTAATTATTATCTCGGACTCTTATATGGCGAGAAGGTCTCGTTGCATCAGTGTTATACCAACTGCACATTAGTTTGTCACGCACTCGTTAAGGTACCGCCGCTCGATGCATTCGTGACGTGACAAGGGACGTTTCGTTACTCGTAGATTGGAAACGCGAGACGTCAGTGCCAAAAAGATAAAATCTCGAAAATAAATCCAGAAGAAACATGTGTAGCATATAAAATTATATTAGATAATTATATTAGAGAATTATATAAATATAATATATAAATTAAAAAAGAAAATTTAATTATAGAGTAATTCCAAGCAAGTGTATTGACATAACACTATTTTTTTAAAGGTAAAGTATGAATAAAATATCTTTGGCACTGATATCGTTTTGCATTTCTAATCGACGCGTCTGTTCGCGGCCGTGGTTTTATATTAATTGGTGATTAACACAAACGCCGGTGAATGGCAGATATATTTTGTCGCGGAGGCGTTATAATTGGTGAATCCTAAACATCATTGTCGATGTATTAAGCTCTAATTAGTGTTCACCGAGTGAACGTTAGAATTTACCTTTCGTAATCTTATTGTTGTATATCAAATTGTTATGATTTGTTTATTCAATCTTTCGATATATACTATATTTTAAGAAAATAAGTGGGTTTCCCTTAATTAGGAATAATAGAACTTGTGTGAGATATGTAACTCATGTAGGAGATGAATGTTGCGTAATTTGTAGAACGCGCTAATCTTCAGCCATTAGTGGATATTCGTGTTGATAACACGGTAACCTTGATAACGATAGCGATGGTAGCATACAATGGATCGATAAATATGTGATACATATTTTTATTGCATCAAGACTCACTCAAGAAACACGTCCAAATTAAAAAAAAAAAAAATAGTATCAATATACATATTAATTCAATATATTCATTAATATATAATATTAATCATTTCATATTATTTTGTAATGAATAATGTTTATCGCTATAATCTTCGATATATTTTCTGCAACATTTCCTCTCTCTTTTTCTTTTCTCTTGTAGCGTTGTCTTGTTTCTCTTTCTCTCTCTCTTTATCTGTTTCTCTGATTCTTCTTCGACTCTCTTTGTCGCGACCCTCTTTCTTGTTCTATCTCTCCTTTCTCTATTTTCCTCATCACGACATTTTCTCTCTTTCTCTCTTTCTCTCTATATATTTACCTCCTCTTTTCACAATGTCTCTTTCTCTCTTTTACCGGCTCCTCCGTTTTTGTCTATACTTCTATCTCTCTTCTTGCAATTCTCTTTCTTCATCGCAATACTTTCTCTTTCTCCATCTATTTACCTGTCTCTCTTTCTTCTTTTCTCTTTCTACCTCGTGACGCCTCCCTTTCTATGAAAGCGGAGACAGCGGCCAGGACGAAAGAGACCGAAAGAGAGCCCCTTGTGACACTGAGCGCGGGTGAGCGCCGGAAATACACCCGCGTGCGCCGGTTCGATTTACTCTTATTCGCCGGCTCTGTCGCCAAAGACGTCGCCGTGTGCGCGTGATTGTGCAGTCGCGATCAAGTTTTCCGTGTTTTCGCGTGTTTTCATCGTCGGTCGCTTCGTTACTCCGAAATTCGCATTTTCCGAGAAAAGAAATCGTGCCGATGTCGCCTTAAGGGGACAATCCGTTACGGAGATACATCATTGTGTCGTTAAATTCTATAGTTGCACAGTAACATTATAATATAATTAAAGAGAGAGAGAGAGAAAGGGTAAGAGAGAGTAGTACAAAATATAGTGGAGGCATATAATATAATTATATGTTTTTTTTCCCTAAAATTTATTATCTATACAAAGGAATAATTTTTTTAAGTATACGAAGAAAATTTTACAGTACGAATTATATAAAAAATACATTTTCTTTCACAACATTTATTATAAAGCTTAAATATAACGACATTAAGATATTTATTACTATAAAAGCGGTAAATTATGCATTTGTTTACGCATCAAAATATTTGAATAATTACACAATACTTCTTTATAAAATATAACGTATATATAATAACATATATAATAATTATTGAATAAAATTATGGTGATTTATTTTATATATGTTAGTATATTCCATGAGAGAGAGAGAGAGAGAGAGAGAGATTATAAAAATTTTATTGTAATTTTTACTATAATATTTTCTCGATGTAACTTTGAACATCGTTCCGTTGCACCGGAAATGCATTTCTGAAGGTTATAAGTTTCGAAAGAAACATATCAAATAATTGCCTCTTAATTATGTCGAAGGAATGGGATAAAATTGACGATTAATTCCTGCAAAAAAATTCTCAACATTTGTATTTTCAATAATAATTACATTTTGATTAAATTATATTATTCTGATATATATCATCTTTTGATTTATTGATTTAGAGAGAAGAGAACTTTGCGAGATGTTTTAAATGAAATTTATACGGTGTTAAAATTAGTAATCTGAAATAGTCCGCGGTCCACTTGTACCTTACTAACACAATAAAGGGTCAATCTCTTTCGTTGAACCGTCGAGTAAATCATTTCGCTCAACACAGTACTTCGAGATGCTTCACTTCTTCTTCTTCTTCCTTGTGCTCTTACTTCTAGATATTTTAGAGTTCATTACTCCGTAGTCATAAAGATTAATAGGAAAATAGGTTTTTATTCTCGCGAGATATTATCTCTATAATTGATTACTAATAACCGTTAGCGCGTGAAGAAGAAAACAATTTAAATTCCTTTATGTAAATATTATTTTTACATATTTTACACAAATTTTCCAATTTTATAGTCCGAAATCCAATAAAACGGAAAACTTTTCGCTATTAACATTTTACGAAACGCGATAATTAGCTATTTTTACAGTACATCGGACTTGCGTAGTTTCGGAAGTGACGTCTCCTATCGCGTTAATCCGTCAAATTAGCATCAATTCGCGTCACGCAACGTCGAGTACCGTAATTACTTTCCTGAAAGTAGGGGGAAGGAGCTTATGTCATCGTTTACTCGACGAGCGCCACGTGAGTGAACACGTGTACGCGTACGCACGCGTACCCGATTCGTCCTCGCGGACGTACACAGCCAAAGAACGTGCGTCTGTGTGTATATGTGAGTGGATAAAGAAAGATGGCGATGGACCGGACGATGTATGGCAAGGTAGAGCCGGGCGATATTTATCAGCCCTTCAGGATCACCATGAAGAAGGGCTCGCCTCCTGGATGTAAGTCCGACATTTTTGACTCACGTGTGTTGCAAGAATAATAATAAATAATGCAAATCTTTTTTTATTTTTCTTGAGGAAAAAATTGAGAGTTTAAAAAATTAACAAATTGTACATATGTGTTATTTCTGATTAATTCATGATTCTTTTTTAATTTTATTAATTATACATAAAACGTTTCTTTATTATGACAATATTAATCATCGGTAGATTGATAAGAAATCTGCTAAGCGTTGACAAAAATTTTTAATATTATTTTACAATAATTTTTTTATTTATTACAATATATGGGATAACCCTCTATTACAAACAAAAAGAGAAAAAGCCAAGTTTGAAAGAAAAGAAAAGAGAAGAAAAAAGATCGAAAAAAGATTTATTTCTTAATTTTATTCAGCAAATTTAAGTAACTTATCTGCGTAAGAGGCTTTATTTTTTTATATTTAACTATTAATTATGGCAATACAATTTTTATCTCAAGAAATTTAGAAAATTCTGTGACTATGAAGAGGTTTAAGAACACCATTACAATTAAATTGACTTTGAAGTATTTTGAATAACTGATAGTGAGATATGCAGATGCAATACACACAGTATAAATTAAGTTTCTCCTTTTACATATATTACAAGAACATGTCAATTATCTAGATATACGAATGAAGATATGCAGATCTGATTACTTTATAACCGATTACTTTGGACATGATGTAATTAGACATTCGTTGGAATACGATATCTACGCTTCTCTCTCTCTCTCTCTCTCTCTCTCTCTCTCTCTCTCACACACATCAATTTCTGATTACCGGTTACATCTGCATACGATTAGCTCTCGTGATATATATTAATGATTATTACATATACGACAGTGCATACCTTGGCGATCGATGATCGGTCGGTTATATTAATTCAAGGTGAGCATAGGTGCGTAGGTATCTCCTGTCTTTCTCATCGTTCCAAAGAGACCCGCACCTCCATATGAGGTCAGTCTTGCCTGTGTTTCCATACCTGCTACACTCGCGATGCGGAATATGTAGGAAGGCGTGATAATGGATCGGCCGCAATTTAGATACCAGTCGATCGATTGATCGTGTAACCGGACGAAAAAATCGTGTCCGCGAAAGAAGGTCGCGAAAGAGCCGTATCCGTTGGTGTCTGCGACTTTTTCGCGATTACCGCGATATTTTGTGAAAGTAATAGAATTATCGAGAAAAGAATTACATCTCTCTTATCGTTAGTTGAAATATAAGATATTGTTGTCTCATTCGTGGCGATACTTTGCCAAGTTTATTTCGCGCGTGAATTGTGTTTTAATTCGAAGCGTGATTTATCAATCGGATGAGGAATATCCGTTCTCGTTATATTTGCTCGATCTAATCTTCCAACATATCTCGCGAAGAGCGCGCGCGCGCGTCGCGGGTGAAACGAGAGGGAGAGAATCAGAGGGGGAGGGTAATTTCACGTAATACAGATATTTCGTAAGCCACGGCAGGCTACAACAGCACGTGGTGCCAGTCCCGTCTAGTCCCGCCAGACATCCGCAGCTGATTGATCATCTCCGCGAATCATCTCTCGCCGAATCATCTCGCCGCGCCACGTGCTTGTGTCATTTCGCGTATCCAGTAGTGTTACGTAGTTACGGATCTCGACGCGTCGTTGATAACGAGATACTGAAGTTGCGTTTATCAACTTCTGTTCGTCCTCGGTCTCGCGAATCTTTTGACCGTGACAATGTTCGTCCACTTAAAATGCACTTATTCTTAATTAAGGGAATAATGGCATTATTATTTTGTTATTTATAGACTTATTTATTGAACAGCCCTCGTAAAATTAATTTTGACATTGAGATATTTTTTAAATCTAGATATGTGTTGTCTTAAATTGTTTAAAGATCGTCTCATCAAAGAAATATCTGCCCTGTTGAAAGAAATTGAGAAAGAAAATGCCGAGGAAACGTCGCGCGATGTTACACACATTCTTTGAAAATGAAACGCAGCCGCTTTCTGGAGTAGGATTAAAGGTGTAGAGTCGGTCGGTCCAGAACGAAGTCGCGCTAGTTCTGTTCTAATTTGTGATTTATTTTTATCCCACGGTACTAGCAAAGTTTAGAACACAACACATCGCGTGGCGGATTCAGTTGGCGTGTGATTTACCAAGAATCCGGACGGAGGCGGCGATTATTGTTATCGATAACGAGCAGCGGATATTTTTGATCGTAATAAGAATTTTTTTCGCTTGTTTACATTGTCAACCGTTATTTCCGCTTCTCTCTCGTTGCCAAAATTTTTCCTCGTTAACAAAATAATATTTTAAAAAATCAAATTGGGACTGATAAACATATACAGTTATATCTCATGCAGTTTAAAAACTATAGGGGAATTACAAACCCAACTCTTTTCGCGATTCTGTGTATATAATTTAGAACGCGATTATATATTATACGATTGTACAGGATTGCCAAAAATTATTACTGCAAGAAACAAACTATATAAAAAGTACCTGATAATTTTTTTGGTAATATATAATTTGATGAATCAATTAAAACAAGATATTAAATCGAAAGATTTGAAAACGTTCAGACTACAATCTTTATAATTTTTTGTGAATAGATTAAGCTTGATGTTCATGAATTCAGTTTTGGAGTAATATGATTTGTTGGTCATTCTGTACATTAGAATATCCTATTAGCTTTACCCTATTTATCGTTGTTTCTCGCGTAGAGAAATTGCCGTGTGAGGTTCTTGAAAACGCGTAAAAATGACAGACGTGATGAGGCCTGTCTCGCCGATTTCACCGATTCATTTGGCGACGATTCAACGTCACGCACGGTGGGAGCAATACGTTAGTAAGTATTGTTCAAGAATTTTCTCATTAACCCTAATTTTGACAATGTTTGCAATAATGTTTTTATAAAAAATATATTTATTAATTTGTTTTAGTAATTATTCATTACTTATATAAATTATATCTATCTTTTTAATGTATACCTTTATTTTCTATTAAATATAAAAACAAAAGTTATTTTATGATTTATGAAAATTATATTTATA